GGAAGAGCAAGAAGGCGTCGGGGCTGAGGATCAACGACTACGACAACCAGTGCGACGTGGTCTACATCAGCCAGCCCATCACCGAGTGCCATTTTGAGAGCCAGCGGTCGGTGTCGTCCCGCAAGACGGCGAGGAAGAGCACCCGGGGGTACTACTTCAACGGGGAGTGCTGCGAGCTCCCCACTGTCCGCACGCTGGTTAGGAGCTCCCGGGCGGAGGAGAGGGGGAGCAGCCCGGCGCTGCGAACAGAGACCCTCGTAAGCGCTAAGCCGCCCCTGGTGCTCTCGGTGGGGGGGTCTGCGGGGGCAGGACGGGAAGGCGAGAAGAGGGTTTCCCTGAGGCTGTTGGCTAAAGGGGCACCAAGTGGCAGAGAAACAAAAGAGAGAGCTGAGCCGGGCTCCGTGCAGCCCCGGGATACCCGGGCGCTGCGGTCGAGGGAAGCTGCCATGGCCATGCCCTTCTTCTCCCTCTCAGCTCCACCCAGCCCCCAGAAAGAGGACAGCTTGGCCGGCTTGCCGCCCCCCAGCTCCCCTCCCACTGAAGGAGAGGGGACGAGAGCGGGAGGCACCATCCCCTGGGAGGCTGGCACCAGCCTGGGCTCCTCCGGGGAGGGCAGCGGTGGCGGTGGGCAGGATGCCGATTTTGCTGCCCTTCCCATCTCAGAAGCATCCGGCGGGGAGGAAGGTTGCCCAGGCTCTGACACACAAACTGATCCGGACCTGTGCGCCAGCCCGGAGCCAAAGTTCCCCTTGCAGCCCTCCGCCGCTGCGGACACAGCACCCCTGGTCCATGATGGTGCCGGGGATCCTGCCCAGCTTCCAGGCGTGGGAGACACGGAGCCCTGCGGGCTGTGTCCGGCAGAGCCCTCCCCACGCTCTCCAGGCTGGCTGGCTCCTGGTGAGCCCCCCTGTGGACAGGGAGAGCCCCCCAGAACCCCCTGCCTCCATGGACAGGGAGAGCCCCCCGGAGCCCTCTGTCACCGTGGACAGGGAGAGCCCCCCAGACCCCCCTGCCTCCGTGGACAGGGAGAGCCCCCAGGAGCCCTCTGTCACCGTGGACAGGGAGAGCTCCCCGGAGCCCCCTGCCACCTTGCAGTGTGTGGACATGAACAAAAACATCAATGCTGAACCAGAAGCTGAATTACCGGGCATGGTGGGTGACGGCTCCCTTGAGCAAGAGGAGGCTGCACCGGCCAGCACAGCCCCCTCCAAAATCTCAGAAGGGGAGGCGGTGCAGAATAACAGCCCAGCAGGTGAAAAAGAGCCTGTTGAAGGTGAAACGCCACCCGAACCCGATGGCTCAGACACTGCAGGGTTTTTTTCCAAAGACAGTCTAGACAAGAAGCGAAAGAAAGGCAGGAGAGTGCTTGTGGCATCGGACCGGCGTCTCCGAAGCCAACAATCCCAGTCACCCGCCGAGGGCAGTGCTGAGGACACTGGTACTTCCAGCTCTGTGCAGCTTCCTTGCCTTCAGATCAAAGTCTCCAAGAGCCCTGGCGCTAAGCGGTTCAAGAGAGAAGTGCACCTGGATGGGGCAGCATCTGTGCACTTCCCAAATGACTGCTTCCCCAACGCGCTGCTCAAAACCAGCGAGGGACCAGGCACCAGTCAGGCCCCAGAGAGCGTCGCTGAGCAGTGGCCAGGTGAGGAGAATGGTGTCACTACCAGACAAACCTATAAAAGCATCTTAGCGAAAGAGACTGCGGCAGAGGGAGAAAATTCCTCTAAAGATGACCCCCCTGCTAACAGCAGCCAAAGTCAACCGGGTGAGACGCTGGAACTCGGCGTCCAGGCTGATTCTGAGAACAGAGGCATTCTCCTCCCTCCGGAGAGCAGTGTGCCTGCAAACGATGCCGAGGAAGTGGATGTGAAACCAGGCAATGCCAGCGCAAAGGACGAGGAGAGCTCTGACAGTGCCATGGACATGGGCAAGCTGGAGAGCTATGAGCTGGTGGCCAGTTTGCCTTCATGCCCCAGCAGCAGAGGTGGAAGCAAGCATCTTCCAGCAAAGGCTGTGAAGCATAAAAAGGTTGCCCTGCAGTTTTATAACTTAAGACACACGCCAGCACCTGTGGAAACCGCAAAAAAGAGCACACCAGGGAAGGAGTCTATGCAAGCAATCCCCAAACTGAGGGACGAATGGAGTTCAGGGAATGACGACTTCCCAGCATTGGAGGACATAGACAGCAAACCAAAGTTCATGGAGTGGTGTGCTGAAGAGGAGAACCAGGAGCTTATTGCCGAGTTCAACGCACAGTACATGAAAGTTCAGAAGGGCTGGATTCAGCTGGAGAAGGAGGTGCAGCCAACCCCCAAGGTAAAGAACAAAGCTGACAAACTGAAAGAGATTTGGAAAAGCAAGAAAAGGACACGGAAAAGTAGAGGCTCGCTGGAAGTGCAGAAGCTTTCTCCTGTCCAGATGCTGTTTATGAAGGCCTTTAAGCTCTCTGACATCTGCCAGTGGTTTCTGGAGACAACTGAAACCAGGTCTCTAGTGATAGTGAAGAAACTCAACACCCGTCTCCCGGGGGAAATCCCCCCCATCAAAGTCCCCATGCAGAAATATTCCTCCTCCAGTCTCTACCCCAGCTCACTGCAAGCCGAACGTTTGAAAAAACACCTCAAGAAGTTCGCCGCCACTACCCCGGCTCGGAATAACCTGAAGAACCAAAAGCTTTGGGCCAAAATTCGGGAGAATGCTGATAAAGTGGAGGCTGAAGAAGCCACAGCTCCCAGCCAGATCTCTCCCACAGATGCCGGTTCCGAGGACCTGAGCGAAGACAAAACCATCCAGCCTGCCCTCAGCTTGCCCACCCAGGCCAGCACCAGGATCCTGCGCAAGTACTCCAACCTGCGGGGCAAGCTGCGAGCCCAGCACCGCGTGGTGAAGGCAGAGAAGAAGAGTGATGGCCCAGGGGACTACCCGTCCACGGAGAGTA